TTTTATATACCCGACTACCCTATATCTAGTAAATACTAGAGCATTCGCCAAGGTACAGGATAGTTCTAGAAACGTGGCGTCACAGTAGTCATGTGACTCGCTGACGCAACACTATGTTTGTTTGTTTTTAGTTCCTTCCACAATGTTTGACAAAAAGAATTGAAATTTTGCAGGTAGGCTTTTACCGTTACATAATATAAACAATTAATATTTTCGAAAGAGCCGTGAAGGAACCACGAAAATGAGGGATCAAGTGTTGTTGTTGTTGTTTTTTTTTTGGGGGGGGACTTTTAGGTTGACTGACCCGGTTCACTTGGAAACTATTACAAACACTATAAGAAGTAGCTCCAAATTGTACTTCAAATTCATTTAAATCTTGGAAATTTTCAAATTGGAGCCCCATATGGGGGGTCAAGGGAGTTTTGGAGACTCTAAGAATCTACAACAAAGATTTAATGAAACACTGATAAAAACTTATAAGTGGTCATTGAAAACAAAGTGATTTTACAAGGGTAGCTTTACCAGTTAGTATGCATAAAGAGACCTTAGTCTCAAGTAAATCTGACGTTTGTAGACCGGATACTCGATCTCACTATCTTAGTGAGTATGAAATATTCCTAAAGTAATTTTGTACTTGTTATTTCAGTGTCATATTGAACTGTGTAACAGTGATTAAATATTTATTACAAAATGTTTGTCTGTTTGTTGCACTTCCGTTTCAGGTACAGTTGATTAGATCATTAATAGTCATTAAATGGCGCTCAGTTACTCACGGATAAACCGGATGGTAGAAGCACGGTTATTCTTTTTATAAGTAATTCATCTGTCTCATTGTTATTGATAATCATATCGAAGAACAATTGGAAGCCGAACAGTCTCTGGAACATAAAGACAATCTGCTATTTGTTTTCTCTTAGACGACAACGTCTGATGACTCATCATAGTAAGGTTCGTAACATAAAACAACAAAAGAGCAGACGTAAATGTAATTATTATCTTTTACTAACTAGATATTTCTTTGATATAAAATTTGTCAAAATACTTCGTGGTCTTTTTTTCTTTTTCTTACCTTTATTCACATCGGAGATTGTTTTCACGTACTTCATTAAAAACTGAAAACTTTACTATAGTGATTACTTATTTCTCGATATTAACTATGGTTTGATGTACTGTTGTTTAATGTCTGAACATTAAGATAACTTACACAATATCCAGTGTTTTTTCATTACTTGTTCCAGAACTATGCGCAAAGATAAAAGCCATCTGTATATAACTGTTCCTATTGTTGAAATGATAGACTAGAGGGAAGGCAGCTATAAAAAACACCCACCGCCAACTGATGGGCTATTTATTTCTTTTGGACGACGAAATATGCTTCAGCTGAGCGTTTTTAGTCAGTTAGGCCACCTTAAAGGCCACGAGCAAAGTACAATGAATCAGAAATGCCTAAGGGTCTGACGACACTAAACATTTTAGGCGAATATCTTGACAATTTAGTCATCAAATGTCTAGTTAATGATTTCATTCGGTTCCTAACAAATAAAATACATTTTTATTAATAATTATTCCTTCTTTACAACCCTAATATATTTGTCAGATCGATGTATCCGACCTTCAACGGGAACACTTAATATGTTGCCATGTGGAGTTAGTAAGACAATGGAGAGAAAATAAAACTATGGATTAAAAAGCTCCTAATAATTATCTGATACT